TACTGGGAGCACTGAGCTTCATCCTTGCCCTTCAGGGCCACCCCTGAGAGGGTGTCATGACACAAGAGTGACAGCAGTCCATTTCCAGCTAGTGCACACAAGGTCTTGTTTGTTTGTCTACTTGCTTCACACCTTTTACAGCTTTATTGAGATATAATTTATATACAACGAGCCACGTGTTTAAAGTGTACAGTTTGCTAAGTTCGGAAATGTGTGCATCTGTGAAACCATCACCACATTCAAGACAGTGAGCGTGTCCATCAAGCTCCAAAGTTTCCTCATACCCCTTCGTCGTCCCTCCCTCCCACCCCATCTCCAAGCAGTCACTGAGCTTTCTGTCACTACAGCTTCCAGTCCTAGACCACAACGGCATTTCAGTCAAGGACAGACCACATGTACAACGGTGCTCCCAGAAGATTAGGACCATGTAGCCTTGGTGTGTACTAGGCTATACCATCTAGGTTCATGTAAGTGCTGTAGAGGAGGAAGAAATTGTCCTCTACCCTTCTAGGCTCTTCCGGCTGGTCGAAGAATTAAATTGACGTGAGACAGATTAGCAGGAGAAAATCAAACAAAAGTTTAATAACACTTAGACATGGGAGAAACCCAGGAAAACCGGGTAGCTCACCAAAACGGCCAAAGCCCTCGCCTTAAATACCATTCTCAGCTAAAGACAAAAGAACATGTTGGGCTGGGGAGAGGCAGGGACTTTAAAGGGAAGGAAGGCAACTCAGGTAAGTGAAAAGGAGCAAATGTTTGGAAAACAAGTGTTTGTTTAGCCGCACAGAAACAGAAGAACACAGGGGAGCCCAACAAACAGGCTTTTCTAGGTCTCTTCCTGTCCACTAGCTAGTTCATATGACGCTAAGGTGATTTTTGTTTTCGTTTTTTTGTGAGGAAGATTGTTGCTGAGCTAACATCTGTGCCAGTCCTCCTCTATTTTGTGTGTGGGATTCCTCCACAGCACGGCTTGATGAGTGGTGTGTAGGTCCACGCCCAGGATTTGAACCAGGGAACCCTAGGCTGCTGAAGCACGAAGTGTGTGAACTTAACCACTACACCACCAGGCCGGCCCCATGAGGTGGTTTTTTTGTCTGAATTCTTTTTATTTATTATTATTATTTATTTTTTTTTTTTGAGGAAGATTAGCCCTGAGCTAACATCTGCTGCCAATCCTCCTCTTTTTGCTGAGGAAGACTGGCCCTCAGCTAACAACTGTGCCCATCTTCCTCTACTCTATATGTGGGACGCCTACCACAGCATGGCTTGCCAAGCAGGGCCATGTCTACACCCAGGATCCGAACCAGCGAACCCCAGGCTGCTGAAGCAGAACGTGCACACTTAACCGCTGCGCCACCAGGCTGGCCTCTGTCTGAATTCTTTTAGTCAGTTAAGGAGGAGGTAACAAGAAAAATTTTCTGAGTCTTTTGTTTCTTAGAAATAATCAGCCTGAAATAATCCTTGTGTCAAAGAGACAGATTTTGGAGTGGCAAATTTTGTTCCACTTCAGTACACTTTAATGTTCCCTCGATGACAAAATTGCCTAATGACGCATTTCTCAGAACATATCCCTGTCATTAAAAGATGCAGGACGGTAGTTTACACCTTCTAAGGTTTTACAGAGATGGAAGCATATGGCACGTACTCTTTCTTTTCTGCTCGGCATAATTATTTTGAGACGCATCCATATTTTGTGCATCAATAGTTTATGCATTTTCATTGCTGAGCAGTAACCATTGTACAGACATACTGCAATCTGTTTATCCGTTCACCTCTTGAAGGACATTGTATTTATAAGATAGCTGCTATGAACATGGATATACAAGTCTTTGGACAGTTTTCCTCCGTTTGGATACATGCCTAGGAGTAGAATGACCAGCTCATACAGTGAGTGTGTGTTTAACTTGTTTTCAAAACAGCTTTATTGAGGTGTAATCTACGAACCATAAAATTCATTCATTTTAAGTGTACAATTCAATCATTTTAGCAATTTACAAAGCTGTGCAGCCATCACCACAATCCAGGACTTTTCTATCACCCCAAAATGATCTCTTGTGCCCATTTGCAGCAACTCCCTGTCCCGCTGCAGACCCAAGGAACCACTAACCTATTTTCTGTCTGAACAGATTTGCCTTTTCTGGGCATTTCACGTAATTGGAATCATACAATATGTGGTCTATGTGTGGCTCCTTCGCTTAGCATCATGTTCACGAGGCTTCTCCATGTTGTAGCATGGATCAGTACTCTATTCCTTTTTGTTGCCTGTTAGTTTCCACTGTATGGATAACACATTTAGTTTATCCATTTAAGAGGTGATGGACATTTGGATTGTTTCCATTTTTTTTTGTGGCTATTATGAGTAATGTTATCAGGAACATTCTTGCACAAGTCTTTGTGTGGACATATGTTTTCATTTCTCTTGGGTAGATTGGAGTTGCTGGAACATATGGTAAATTTATATTTAACCTTTTTTTTATTGAGGTCACATTGGTTTATAACATTAGGTAAATTTCAGGAGTACATCATTATATTTCAGCTTCTGTATAGACTGCATTGTGTTCACCACCAAAAATCTAGTTTCCATACATATGTGCCCCTTTACCCCTTTTGCCCTCCCCCAACCCTACCATATACTTAACTTTTTTTTTTTCTTGGTGAGGAAGATTTGCCCAGAACTAACATCCATTGCCAATCTTCCTCTTTTTTTCTTTGCTTGAGGAAGATGAGCCCTGAGCTAACATCTGTGCCAGCAGTTCTCTATTTTGTATGTGGATGCCTCCACAGTATGGGTGAGGAGTGGTGTAGGTCCATGCCTGGGATCCAAAGCCACGAACCCTAGGCCACCAAAGCAAAGCATGTGGAACTTTAACCACTCAGCCAAGGGCCCGGCCCCTACAAATTCTTTATTAGCTATGTGATCTGCAAATATTTTCTCAATCTTGTGGTTTGTTCTTCTGTTACCAGTGTCTTTCAAAGAGTAGAAGTTATTAATTTTCGTAAAGTCCAATTTATCAATTTTTACTTTTATAGATTGTATTTTTGGTGTCATACCTAAGAAATTTCTGCTTGATTGAAAGTCATAAAGATTTTCTCCTAGGTTTTCTTCTAGAAGTTGTATAGTTTTAGGTTTTACAATTAGGTCTATGATCCATTTTGAGTTAATTTTTACATCCGGTACAAACATAGAGTGTTTTTAACAATTTGTTTTGTTCTGTGGTGTGTGTGCCTTCGGCACATGGATATCTAATTGTCCCCTCAGCATTTGCTGAAAAGACTGTCCTTTCTCCAGTGAATTGCCTTTGCATCTTGGTCAAAAATTAAGTGATCACATACACAGGAGACTATTCCTGGACTTTCTATGTGTTCCATTGATCCATTGGATCAGCTTGATGCCGGTCCTACACTCCCTTGATTCTCGTAGCTTTATAGTCAGTCTTGAACCAGGCAGTGTAGGTCATTTGATTTTGTGCTTTGTTTTCAAAATAGTTTCGGCTACCCAGGTATTTTGCATTTCTATATGAGTTTTAGAAATTGTCCATTTTTAAAAAGAAACTTCCTGGGATTTTGATTGGGATTGCATGGAGTCTCCAGGTCAACCTGGGGGAGAATTGATATCTTAGACATTTTGAGTCTTTCAGTCTATCAACACAGTATCTCTCTCCAATTATTTAATCTTTAATTTCTCTCGACATTTTATAATTTTTAATGTGCAGGTATTGTACATTTTTTGTCAGACTTACCCCTAAGTATTTCATTTTCGTATTTCTTGATGCTGGTTTAAATGGCATTTTAAAAATTTCAAGTTTTGATTGCTAATGCTAATATGCAGAAATACAAATGATTTATATATCGATCTTGTATCCTGCAACTCTGCAAAATTCATTAACAATTCTAGTAGCTTTCTTGTAGATTCTATGAAATTTTCTATTACCATGCTGTGAATAAAGACAGTTTTACATCTTCCTTTCCAATCTGGATGCCTTTCTTTTTCTTTCCTCATTGCACTGGCAAGAACTCTAGTATAATGTTGAAGTGCTGAGAGCAGACATCCTTACCTTTTCCTGATCTTAGGGGGAGAGCATCGTTTTTTGTTAGAAAATATGCTGTTAACTGTAGGTGTAGCCTTTTATTAGGATGACGAAGTTCCCTTCCAGCCCTAGTTTGCTGGAAGAGTTTTAAAAATCAGAAAGGAACGCTGGAATGTGTCAGATGCTGGGACATCTCTCTAAGGTAAAAGACAGATGACTCCCACTTCCAACCACTAAGAAAAAGGGACGAGACTTGGTGGGTTTTTCTGCATCTATTGAGATAACTTTTCTTTCTTTTTATCTGTTAATTTGGGAATTACATTGATTGATTTGAAAATGTTCTGGGCAAGTCGCTTCATCTCTCACGGCCTCATTTTTTGTTTTGTCTGTAAAATGGGACAATAATACTCATCTTAAAGCACATTTAGGAGGCTGGCATGCATTGGTATATGGAAAATACCTGGCGCACACAAGGCACTCCATATAAATTTGCTCATATTTTACAGACTGGATTAAAGGCATCTGTGTTCATCTCTTCCCCACTGCCTCCTCTCCCGCTCCTCCAGGCAGGGACGCCTCTTAATCCTTCCCTGCCTCCCAGTGCCTAGTACAGTGCCTCTCGGCACAAAGTGGGCCCGTTAACAACTTGAAAGCAAGTAGGAAAGAACGGGTCGCCAGGCGCCACCTCCCCGGCCCCCCAAGCATCCCACAGCTGCATCCCCCTCCTTGGGAGCAGCCTCACGCGTAGACTCTGAAACTGCCGCCGCCGGACGCGGGTAGCCCGCGGCCCCGTCCTGACCAATCGGAGCCCGCCCTCCGGGGGCCCGCCCCATTCCGAAAATCGACCGCCCCTACACGACCTCCGAAGCTGACCAATCAGCTGCTGAGTCCCGCTGTTAGCCCCGCCCCAGTGTTGAAACTGCCGCTGCCGACCGCGGAGTAACGCCCGGAGGCCCTCCGAATTTGACCAATCAGGGCGGCCAGCTCTGGCCCCGCCCCCGGCCGGCGACGCGCGGGGCGGGCAGGGCGGAACTCCGGGCAGAACTCCGGGCAGCGGGGCGACCGCGGGCTGCGCGCTTCCGGGCTTCGGGGCGGTGAGTGCGGGAGCGACGGGCCGGGGGTCGGGAGGAAGGGCTCGGCTGGGGGCCCCGCGTGCGCCCCCGCGGAGGGGTCGGGAGCCGCGATGGGAAAGAAGCGGGAGGCGGCTCCCCTTCCCGGGGCCCGGCCTGCGTCCCCCGGCGCTGCCTCTGCACTCCTGCTGCCTCAGTTTCTCTTTTGAACGTCGCCTTCCCGTTGCATTTGCGCAGCTTTTAGCCTCCCCGAGCGCGGCCGGAGCCGGAGGAGGGAGCGCGGCTGTTCCCTTTAACCCGGTCGGAAAACGGAGACCCTGTCTGTCGGACTGTAGGTATGACCGAGTGGCTGGATCAGATAAGGGAGGGGGGGGCCGGACTCCCGTCCTGCGCTTCAGGCTGTTTGCCCACCTTGTCCGCACCCCCGGAGTCGCCTGTGCTCGCATCTCCACTGCCCCCCTTATGCGGGGCATATGTGAGGGGTCCAGTGTAGTCTGGCTTCTCTGCCTCAGCCCCTGCTGCCGGGCCCTGAGGCGGGGACCCTGGGGTGGGCGGTCCGCAGGCGCCGAGTGTGGGTGCGGGGCTGGGGGCGGGGCAGGGGTTCTGAGTAGGATGTCCGATTGGACCCAGTGTTAAAAAGGCGTCGTGTGTATCCAGGGAGACTGCGTTTCTGGTCGGAGGGGTCTGGGCCTGGGGCTCTGGGGGCAGTGGGCAGCCCCTCCCCCAGCCTGCAGAAATCCCTGCCAGAGGCGTCTGTGTGTCCCTGAGCCTCGATCCCTGGGGGGCCGGAGGCTGTGAGAAGGAGGAGGCAGCTTCCCAGGACCCTCTCCTCACTTCTGGGGGAAAGGCTGGCCTGACCATGGACCCTGGAGCAGATTCAGGTTCAGATCCTGGCTTTGCCACTTACTAGCTGTGTGGCTTGGGGCAAGTTGCTTAACTTCTCTGAACTTTGGTTTCTTCATTTGTAGAAAGAAAGGGAAGAGGAAGGGAGAACAGGAGAGAGGGAAGAGTACGTTCAGAAGCTGGGTTTGGGTTGGATTCACAAGTTGTGATGCTTTACATTTGTAGTCTCACCCTAATTGTTTTCTACAAGTTAAAATAGTGTAATTTCATAGTTAAGGTGGTTAAGGGGGATTGTTCTCTTCTGGCATGTTAGCAAACACACACCCTGGGCCAGTGTGACAGTAGAAGACTTTTATTGAATGCTCACTGTGTGCCAGGCGCTGTACTAAGACTTCACGTGCACTACCTCCTTTAAACCTTACAACAGCCTTATGCGGGAGATACTGTTATCATCTCTGTTTGGCAGATGAGGAAACTGAGGCACAGAGAGGTTAAGTAACTTGCCCAAGGCTGCACAGTCAGGGAGTATCAGAGTGGGGATTCGAACCCACGCCTCTGGCTCCACAGGGCGGCCTCCGCAGCTCCATGTCACGCTGTCTTGGCTTCAGATAGAAGAGGTGGCCTGGAACCCAGCGCTGAGGGTGCTCTGCAGCCCAGGGTTAGCGACTCCCACCGAGGGGCCTGGGATGGTGGAGACCAAGGACGTGCGGCAGCTGCGGCAGCTCAGCCTGGAGCTCCTGAGGCAGCTGCGGGCCGGGCAGGAGGCCGTGCGGCGCTCGGTGGCCAAGGCAGCCTCCGCGGTGAGCACCCACCTCAGGAGTCCCCGTGAGGGAGGAAGGGGCTGCCAGCCTCTTGGGCCGGAATCCAGGCCTCCAGCGGCATCCCGGGCAGCGCGCCCACTTTACTGATGATGAGAAAACCGAGGCCCGGCGAGGGAAGGCCCAGTGGAGGCTGGAGCAGGGATGAGGAACCGGGTCTTCCTGCCTAGTGCAGACCAGCTGAGCGGGTGGCTGGGCCGCCCCTGGGTGACCTGGCCTCTCTGTTCCAGTCGAGCCTGGACTCCAGCAGCAGCTACGACTCAGAGACGCCACCCTCTCAGGAGATGTCCTCAATGGCCTCGAGAGCCTCCTGTCCACAGGATGCCCAGCAAGGTGACCCCTGTGATATGTCCTGGCCTGGCGGGGCCAGCTCTGGGGGGAGCTCTCCCCCACCCACCAAATGCCGACACCAGGAGTCCCTGGGGCCACTGAGGCCCCACTCGGCACCCTTGCCGGCCTCCTCAGACTCGAATGACCCAGAGCTGTCGGCAGAGCTGGACAGTCTACTCCAGGAGGCACAGGCCATGAGGTCCGCCCCGGATCAACAAAGCAAGCTGCCCAAGGTAACACTGGAGTGGGGCATCTGTTGATAAGGGTTTCCTTGAGCCTCAGTTTCCCTATCTGACAAATGCACTCATGGGCAGCCGCCCTTGCAGAGTGAAAGGCTTCTGGGAGGTACCTGGAGTCGTGTCCCGTTCAGCCTAAGTGCATGATCAGTGGTGGCCGTCAGTGTCTCAGACGGCACTTTGGGAAGAAGGTGATGAGCCCCATTACACGGATGGGAAGACCGAGGCTCGGGGGCTGGACTTGTTCACAGTGACACACAGAAGGGCGGGGGGCCACACTCTTGTCTTCCGGCTCCCACGCCCTCGGCTGAGCCCTGGGGCCCATGTCAGGGTGTAGTTAAGAAATGGCCCCCCTCTCTCCCCCAAGGTGGGGCCTCCTTTGGGCCGGGCCTGCTGGCCTAGCCCTTGCCCCTCTCTACCCCTCTCGTCAGCCGAGAGTGACCTTCAAGAAGGAGTCTCCAGTACCTGAGAGGATCTGGCGCCTCCGACCGTACCTGGGTTACGACTGGATTGCAGGTGCGGCCCTGAGCCCGCAACTCACGCGGGAACCGGGGTCAGGGAGGGGGGGCAGAGGAGGGGGCCCAACTTGCCTGCGCACCTGCCGGAGCCCCCACCAGGTGCTGCTGTTCCTCCGTCTGTTCCACCCGCCGCAGTGAGCACCTTCGGTACCGTGTCTGCTCTCTCGGCCACTGGCACAGTCACAGGCACAGAGACAGTGCTCACCGAGCGTTTGTTGAATGAATGAGAGAACTGCCACAGTGTGAGCATTTATTGTATGCCAAGTCCCTGCAGAACTCTGTATGGGAATCATCTCTATATTTTATTGCCCGTCTCCCCTCCCCCGCCCCCCAGCAACCTCAGTGGCCTCCTGGCTGGTCTCCCTCTGGCCGCTTTTGCCTCAATTACTGTCCATTTTTGACACAGCAGCTGGAAGAAATTTTTAAACGTGGGAATAGATCATGTCACTCAGAGTACTTAGCACTTAGAGTCAAATCCAAAATCTTTATCCAGATTTCTGAGGCGTGACCTGGCCTCCACTGGCTCGGTGACATGACCCCTGACTATCTGCCTCCTGGCTCTTCACTCCAGCCTCGCTGGCCTCCTTGCTGTTCCTGGAGCCTGGATGCTCATGGCCACCTCGGGGCCTTTGCACTTGCTGTTCCTTTTGCCTGGAGTGCACTTTCCCAGGGTCACACGTGCTGGTTCCTTTTCATCATTGAGGGCTCAGCTCGAATGATAGGCCTTCCGTGAGCATAATGTCGTGGGGCCACCTCTCCCTACATCGTTGCCTGTGGCAGCAGCCATTGCTCTGTTCTCCGTATCCCTCGTTCTCAGAAACGGGTGTGTTTGCTTGCTTCTTGTCTGGCTCCTCCGGTAGAACATGAGCTCCCTTAGAGCCGCGCCCAGCTGTCTGTTCGGTGCTAGTTCCCCGAGCCTGAGCCTAGAATGGCGCCTCCACATAGTAGGCCCTCAACCAACACTTGTCGAATGAGTGAGTGAACGACCTGAGAGGTTGGTGCTGTTCACTTCACGAAGGAGGACACTGAGGCACAGAGAGGTTGAGTGACTGCCCAAAGGCAGGTGCTCCGTGGGGTGGCTGGGACCAGTCGAGGGGCGGGGAGGACACAGGCCCCGTCCAGTGACTTCCCACACTGTCCGCTCGCTGTCGCTGGGAGCTGGCGGCGCCTGCCCTGGCCCACCCTAGCCGCTGATCCTTCCCGCTTCTTTCCCGGGTGACCAGCTGCGCTCCACCTGCGCCGTCCCTGCCATTGTGCGCTCACTGGTCCCCTCTTGGCTCCCGCAGGGTGTCCCTCCTGCCTGCGCCTCCTCCAGGGCCGGCAGCGCCCTGCACTGGTCTGAGGATGGCTTTGCTGAGGGCCGGTGTGTGGCGCCTTCCGGGGGCTTCATCCACTTGCTCCTTTACTCTCCGCGGTCACATTGTCCCCACGTGCAGGCGAGAGACAGTGAGGAGACAGCCCGTGTCACAGCCAGTCGGGGTGGCGCCGTCTGTTAGTTCCCGCCCCGAGGACACCGTCCTCCCTGGAGCCCTTTTGCTTCTCATTACTGCCCGTTTCCTCTGCTTTTCTTTATAATGAAGCTCCTCCAAGGGTTGTGTGCACTCGCCGTCTCCGGTTTCTCTCCCCCACTTTTTCTTCATCGGGCTTCAGCCCCTGACCCCGTCTTCACTGGGGTCAGCAGTGCGTCTGCGGGGCTGGCTCCGGCCCGGTTCTCAGCGCCCCCTTTTCCCGGCGCCCGCCCGCCTCCCCGAGGCTCCTTACCCAGCTTCCAGGGCGGCCCCCACCCCCCCATCTCCGGCTGCTCCTTCCAGTCTCCTCTGCCAGATCCTCTTCCTTCTTCCGACCTCCCGACCCCGGAGGCCCCAGGCTCGGTCTGCCGATCCACCTCCATCTGCCCTCCGGCTCTGACCCCGGGGCCGAGGCTTGCCGTGGTCTCTGGCTCCCGCTGCTCCTCCAAGTTCCAGACTTGGCTACCTGCCTTCGTCTTCTCCACCTCGCCCACGTGTCTTAGGTTCATCTCACCGCCAAAATCAAGGTCCTGATTTCCGCAGTGCCTGCTCCTCCTGCACTTTCTTGTCTCTGTAAATGGCGACTCTGTTATGGAGTTAATGGCCATGACCTTGGGATCAACCTTGCTTCCTCTTCTTTTTGCATATTCCTCTTTCAGTCTGTTAGGGTGTCTTGTTAGCCCTGCCTTCAACATATTTCTAGAATCTGATTACTTCCCTCTGCTGGGATGCCTGCAGTTCCTAACTCGTCTCCCTGCTTCCCTCACCTTGCAGTAGCCAGAGGGAGAATCCTGTGAAAATACATGGCCAGTCTGATTGCATCACTCCTTGTCTCCAAACCCTCCGCTGGCTTCCTAGCTTCATCTCCCCAACCCTCGTCCCTCACTCCCCTCCAGCCACTTTCACCTCCTGGCTGTTCATCAAACATACCGAGTGCGCACCTGCCCCAGGGCGTTTGCGCTTGCTCTTCCATCTGCCTGGAATGTCCACATGTCTCCCTCCCTCCTTCATCAGGTCTCTGCTCAGGTGTCTCCTCCTCAGAGAGTCCTCCCCTGGCAGCCCCACCCTATCAAGCTCGGTTCCCGGACTCTGTTCTCTTTTACTTCTTGGCCGGTGTCACATTCAATGTTGTATCACAGGTTTCTCTGGTGACTAGTTTGTCTGTTATCACGTGTTGGAATGTAAGCCTCACAAGGGCAAGGGCCTTGTCTGGGTCACTGCTCTTTCCCAGCACATTGAACAGTGTCTGGCCCGTAGCAGGGGCTCTGTAAATAGGTTTGTGTGGACGACTGGATGTGTGTCAGGGTGGACGGACACTGAGACAGAGCCAGCAGTCACAGGGACTGGAGGGCCCCCTCTGGGTCTGTAGGAGGCACGGTGGGGGCAGAGCGGTGGACTCTTGGCCTCGGCCAGTGGCCACACAGCAGCTCCCGGGGCTTCGCCGCTGCAGGGTCTCTGGACAACAGCTCTCCCGTCACCAGCAAGCCCGAGGCCTTCTTCTCTAAGCTGCAGAAGTTCCGGGAAGCCAACCAGGAGGAGTGTGTTTGCAGCGACCCCGAGTGAGCGGGGCGGGCGAGGGCTGGGCGGGCGGCTCAGGACCCGTCACCCTGTCCCGCTCACCGCTTTCGCCCTCACAGACCCCAGATCCTGGGCCTGCGCGAGGGCGGTGGCGTCAAGGGAGACCATGAATGTGAGTGTGAACCCTCGTGGGCCGCCCCACGGCCCAGCCAAGGTCCTGGGGCAGCAGCTGCGGTGTTGGGTCCTTGGGGAGGGAGGTCTGGGGCCCGGACAGGGTTGGGGTGAGCTGAGGCCCGGCCTCGTGGGGATTAGGGCCCGCCCTGTTACCCGCCTCACCCCTCCCCAGCAGCCTTCATTCTCTTCCCAGCTGCCTCATTTCCCACGTGCCCCCCACTCCCGCCCCCTCCTTTCTGCACATGTCATCCTTGTCGGGCCGCCGGCTCAGTCACGTGAGCACCGGAGTCTGCCGTGGGTTTGCATGTGCAGCCTACAGTGTGTACATAGGTGTACATGCATGTGGGTGAGGGGTGTTTGTGTGCAGCCTGTGTGTGATCTCAGATGGAGGCATGTGCACGTGTGTCCTCGAATGTGACTGTAGGAAGCCTTGCTTCGTGTTTGCACACACAACATTGGCACATGTGAACATGCTGGTGTGTGTATGTGCACACATGTGTGTCATGCTCGTGTAGCAGGGTGTGCTCAGTGTTTTTGTATGTGAGTGCATGTACGTGAGCATACTCCATGTGTGTACCTGCGTGTGTGCTGTGAGCGTGGCCGTCGGGGGTGTGGAGGGGCTGGCGGGCCTGTCCGGTTGAGGCAGTGGGGCGCAGGGCTCCAGGTCCCCGGCTGAAGGAGCTTCTCACGGGTCTCGCAGGCGTCTACTGTTACCGGGTCAACCGGCGCCTGTTCCTGGTGCCTTCAGATCCCGGCACCCCCTGCCGCCTGTGCAGGACACCACGGGACCAGCGGGGCCCTGAGACCCTGGCGGAGCCAGCGCAGGTCAGGTGAGTGGCTGGAGCAAGGAGGACACCCCCCAGGGGCAGCCATGGGGGCAGCAGCCGCTGAGGAGGGGAGCAGAGGCTGGGGCCCGTCACTTCTGAGGGAGGGAAAGGGGCCTGGGGCTGTGGCCCCGCAGCGAGAGAGGCGCCAGCAGCATTGCCCCCAACCTGTCACCCTGTCCCCCAACCCAGGGTGAGCGTCCCACTGTCCGTCCTGGACCCCCCACACCAGTACCGTATCCACCGGCGGAAGAGTTTTGACGCCTCCGACACGCTGGCCCTGCCCCGGGTGAGCAGCTACATGGGGCCTGGGTGGGGACGGACGTGGGGCTGCCCCCTGTGTGGCCCAGGTCCCCAGATCGATCCTGAGGCCCAGAGAGGGTCAGGGACTGTCCCAAGGCTACACAGTGAGGCTGGGCTCAAGGAGGGCGAGGCTCTGGAGTTCAGCCTGGGTCACTGCCATCACTGTGCTGTGCTTGCTCCCCGAGGGAGGTGGGGCACCCCGCTGGCCCCGAGGCTTCCAGGATAAGTGTTGCCCGCACGTCGGCACAACACGGATGGGCCCCGGTCACTGAGCTTGTGTGTGCCTCATGCACAGTCCTTCAGAGGGTTATCTCATGGAGCCCCCAGCAACTGAGAGCACGGGTGCTGCTGTGGTCCCACTTTACAGATTCGGAGCCTGAGGCAGAGGGGACGTGACTTGTCCAAGGTCAGCCAGGTGGGAGAGCTGGGACATGAACCCAGCCCCTTAGGGTGCCGTGGTGCTCCCATAGCGACATCCTTGGTGTCTCCTGGGTAGGACGGGGGTCAGTGGGGACCCCACTCACTCCCAGTTGAGGCTGGGGGAGCTGTGCCTGGAGAGAGAGGAGAAGGGATGTAGAGGAAACCTGGTTTGCTCGTCTGTAAAATGGGTACAGCGCACCTAACTCTGGCTTGTGGGGCAGTTCAATGAGTCAGTGCCTGTCGGGCATAGGGCACAGCCTGGCACACAGGGAGTGCTCCAGCAGTGTCCACGGCCTCCCCTCCACCCCTCTAACTCAGGGCCCAGGACATGGGTCAGCAGGGGTAGGAAAGGGAGGCCCAGGGGTGACCCATGGGTGGACACAAGGCTTCTGCCCAGGGGGAGCCTCAGTGTTGGGGGACACCGTGACTGTTTGGGGAGCACCTCCACCCTCATGGGGGACATGGCCCCGTCTTAGCAGATGCTGCCAGTCCAAGAGGAGAGGCACAGCCCCTTGCTGGGTGTGCCCAGTGTGGGGGGACCCTGCCCCAGGCCAGGCGCCTTCACCCCTTGCTCTCCACAGCACTGCCTGCTGGGCTGGGACATTCTCCCGCCGAAGCCCGAGAAAAGCTCAGCCCCCAAGAGCCTGGATCTCTGGTCCTGTGTCTCTGCCAAGGCCCAGCACCGGAAGCTGTCAGCCACCAGCCCCTCCCGCCTGGTAGGGTCCAGGCTGCCCCGGGAGGGACAGAGGCCTTGGAGCAGGCCTGCGGACTGCAGAGTCCCCGGGAGCAGGATTGGGGGGGGTACTGCAGAGCCTGAAAGTGTCTCTCCACAGGGGCCCGTCCCCCCAGCCCTGACCCCAAGCATCCTTCCAGGGCCTACTACTCCCCGCCAGCTACTGCATCCCACCCAGGAAGGTGACCCAGACTATAAGGTCCAGAAGGGGATGAGGCTGGAAGTGGGGGTGACCTGCTCCCAAAGTGGTCCCCTCTGACACCTCCTCGTTCACCATCCAGGCCCTGCCCACGCGGGTCCCACCTGCCACCCCGATCTGGTCAGAACCCCAGGTCCCCTGACCCTGCGCCCCCCGGCTGAAGCCCTGAGGACTGGCCACTTGGAAGAGGACAGTGCCTCTGTCATCGTCTCTAGCCTCTCCCCTCTGGCAGGGGCGCCCAGCCCGGCCTCAGCTGGAGTGGACTCCGGCCCCACCTCCTAGGCTGGGCAGGTGGCTGAGCCCAGGTCTGGCTCTTTCCTAGTGACAGCGATGGGGGATTCTGGGCTGGGGGGTGAGGGGATTCTGTGACATGTTTGTAAATAAAGCTTGGCGCTCTCTCCAGCTCCAGGTTCCCACGTGTGCTGGGTCTGTCCTGCTGATGCCCTCGGTACCCAGGAGGTGCCCCGGCCTCAGCCTGCCCTCCCCTCACCTGGGGAAAGACACTTCTGACAACCTGTGCTGGGCGGGGTGGTTCCAGTGGCCTGTGTGTGGCTCTTTGTGCATCTCCCAACTCTGGGTAGATGGCCCGAGACAGGCCAAGGCCAGTGTTAAAAAACCGTCTCAGCGAGGGGCTCAGGGGCTCAGGCCGTCCCCTGTGGGTGAGGCCGAGGCCGTGGACGCTGGGAGGGAGGGAGCTTCTTCCCCCTTCTTGGTCCCTGAAACCAGGGTCCATTGCTAGAGGGGCTCTCTTGAAGTCCCTGGACCAGGTGGCTCCTCCACGCCCCTCTGTAGCCCAGCCCTAGAAGTCATGGGGGTCTGGAGCTGCAGCAGGGACCAATGGGGAAACTGAGGACCAGGCAGTGAGTCAGAGGCAAGGTTGGCAGAGAGCCCAGATCTCCCCTGCTGGATTAATAAGCAGTGCCTGTCCCCCCGCCCCACACCCCGCCACACACACACTCACCCGCCGGGTTAAACAATATGAAATTCCTGTTTTCCTGGTATAAAAATGGGGTAGATGGGGAACCAAAGCCCAGAGAGGGCATGAGCTTTTTCTACGGTGTCTCAGCTCGGAGGGGCGGAAGTAGGGCTGTGGTCTGTGGCTTCCACCTGGAGCTTATGAGCTGTGAAAATCTTTCTCCTTCCGTGTTCACAGCACATGTATTAGTCAGGATAAGTGAGGTTGTGCTGCAGTCACAAATTAACCCCCAAATCTCGGTGGTTTGACATAAAGACTTTCTTTCTCACTGACTTGCTCACTACCTATCCATTGTGGGTCACATGGGGTCTCTGCTTTTTTTTTTTTTTTTAGATTTTTAAATTTTTTTCCTTTTTCTCCCCAAAGCCCCCCAGTACATAGTTGTATATTCTTCATTGTGGTCCTTCTAGTTGTGGCATGTGGGATGCTGCCTCAGCGTGGTTTGATGAGCAGTGCCATGTCCGCGCCCAGGACTCAACCAACAAAACCCTGGGCCGCCTGCAGCGGAGCGCGCCAACTTAACCACTTGGCCACGGGGCCTCTGCTTTTGACATTGTCTCTCGGGGGCCCAGGCTAACAGAGGCTCCCCAATGGGGCACGTCACCAGTTGCTTTAGCCTGGAAATGACACACAGGTCACTTCTGCTCATGAGTCATTGGCCAGAACTAGTCACATGGGTGTCCCGCCTGACAGCAGGGGGTTGGGACGTGGAGCGGGCTCATGGGATATTTGCTGAGCGTTGCTGGCCTCTGCGCCCTGTTACCTGACTTCTACCAGCTCTGTCCCTGTGAGGCAGGCACGCAGAGCCCCCAGGCCCTGGGCAGCAGGGGCCATTCGCCGAATGATAGGCACTATGAATTCTTGCCGAAAGTCTTCCCTCCCTTGATCTGGGGTTCCAACCCCAAATGCCTTCCGTGGCCAGGTGGGCAAGGTGACTGGGAGTGGCGGGGCTCAGAGCCACCTGGCGAGCACACGGCCCCTCCAGAGGCTGTCAAGGTCAAAGGCCTCTGTGATTCAAACTGTCACGTCTGTGGGCAGACTCAGCCACAGGTCATGGTTTGCCACTGGATCCCAGGACCTGGAGACACAAAGTCCCTTCTGGATGTAATTTTTTTTTATTAATTTTTTAAAATGTATTTTTAATTGTGCAAAATACTCATGACATAAAGTTTACCCTTTAAAAAGATTTTTAAGTGGACGGTTCAGTGTTATTGACATTGTCGTGCAACAGTCGCCACCATCCATCCTAGAATATTTTTAAGCTTGCAAAACCGGAACTCCATGCCGGTTAAACACCGCCGCCCGTTCCCCTCCCCGCAGCCCTGGCCGCCACCGTGCTTTCTGTCTCTGGATTTGACTGCTCCTGGTGCCTCAGATGGGTGGAATCAGACCGTATTTGTCTCTTATAACGAGCTTATTTTGGGGCCAGCCCCGTGGCCGAGTGGTTAGGTTCCCATGCTCCGTTCGGCGGCCCCGGGTTTTGCCGGTTCAGATCCTGGGCGCGGACATGGCACCACTCAGGCCATGTTGAGGCAGCATCCCACATGCCACAGCTAGAAGGACCCACAACTGAAAATATACAACTATGTACTAGGGGGGCCTTGGGGAGAAGAAAAGAATTAAATAAAATAACTGGCTTATTTCATCTAGCACAATGTCCTCAAGGTTCATTTATGTTGTAAGGTGTCAGAATTTCCTTCCTTTTTAAGGCTGGATGTATATACCTTTTCACTGTGTGGATAGACCACATCTTGTCGATTCACTCATTGTCAGTGGACACTTGGGTTGCTTCCACCTTTTGGTTCTTGTGAGTAACGCTACTGTGAACATGGGTAAACAAATATCTGTTTGAGTCCCTGCTTTCAATTCTTTTTTTTTTTTTTTTTTTGAGGAAGATTAGCCCTGAGCTAACATCTGCTGCTAATCCTCCTCTTTTTTTCTGAGGAGACTGGGCCTGAGCTAACATCTGTGCCCATCTTCCTCTACTTTATATGTGGGACGCCTACCATAGCATGGCTTGCCAAGCAGTGCCATGTCTGCACCCAGGATCCGAACTGGCAAATCCCAGGCTGCCGAAGCAGAACGTGCGCACTTAACCGCTGCACCACCGGGCTGGCCCCCCTGCTTTTAATTCTTTTGAGAATGTACCTATAAGTGGAATTGCTGGATATATGGCAATTCTGTTTAATTTTGGGGGAAGCCACTATACTGTATCCATAGCAGCTGTGCCGTTTTCCATTCCGCCAGCAGTGTAAAAGGGTTTCAGTTTCTCCACATTCTTACCAACACTTATTTTCTGCTTTTTTGATAATAGCTATCCTAATAGGTGTGAAGTGGTATCTTAGGGTGTTTTCTTTTTTTCTTCTGAGGAAGATTTGCCCTGAGCTAACATCTGCTGCCAATCTTCCTCCTTTTTTTTTGGTATGTGAGCTGCCACCACAGCATGGCCACTGACAGACGAGTGGTGTAGATCCGCGTCTGGGAACCAAACCTGGGCTGCCGAAGCAGAGTGCGCTGACCTTAACCACTAGGCCACCGGAGCTGGCCCTCTTGCAGTGGTTTTGCTTTGCGTTTCCCTAATGATAGTGATGTTGAGCGTCTTTTCATGTGCTTACAGGACATTCGTGTATCTTCTTTGGAGAGATGTGTGTTCAAGTCCTTTGCCCATTTTTGAATCAGGTTGTTTGCTTTGTTGTTGTTTCACACAATTTTAAGTAAAGAGCCTGTAAGAGTCAGTGGTTTTCTCAGAAATTCTTTGGCCAGAGGAAGAAGAGAATCAGGAAGCCTTCTGTCAAACAAAAATTACAAAATTTACAGCTGAGATCAGCCTGTGAATCCAGCTGATGCAGAACAGCAACAGTTTGAACCACAACAGTCACGAACGACGTTTCTTTCCCATGAAAGGCCAGCCTGCAGCCCTGGGTCCATTCAATCATCAACGCAAGCGCTTTCTCTGGAAGGACAATTCTTTTGAAAATTTAGGTTTCTGGCCTTTTTGCTTCCTGCTTCCAATTAGTTCCATGTGCAGGAACCCACAACCCAAGGTCTCCAGACGCTGTTTCATCAAACCGGTGACACCATCGATCGCAAGACTCACCCTCACTTTGGACCACCAGGAAAAAGGGTGCTAAAGGCTGACACTCCCCGGGCTGTGAGATCATTTCAGAGATGTTAAAATGTGAAAGAATGGGCATCCTAGAATTAATGCGTTGCAGGAAGTCGTAAGCTAGACTGACTTCTGAGCTCTGTGCATCCCCCGACTATCTCAACGGTGGTGTCAATGGTGGCCCCTTTGGGGCCGTCTGGAGCGATCCTCAGAGGCCTGCCTTGATCCCACAGAACTGGCTAAGGCACCCCAAGTCTGAGGCCCCACCTCTGCTTACCCATCATCCTCCGTTACACTCACGATCCTTGAGGACAGGGGCTGAGCCTGTTTCCTCCTCAGCTGTGCCCTATTGCAGCGCGTGGCATGTGACAGATGTTCCCTAAATAGATGTTGGGTGCATGACTGAGTGAAGGAGTCCCCAGGTCTTGGAAAGACAGAGGCCACACAGCCCCGGGAGCTGAAGGGAGCGTGTCCTGGGAATTCGGCACTGGCAGGTGAGCCGTCGCTGCTACAGCTGATGCTGGTTTTCAGTGCATCACGGTGTCCTACGTCTTGGGCAGATCCTGGGGGTCTGGCCTTCTGGGATGAGAGGAGACAACTGTGACATCGCCATCCTGGAAAATTCCTACTCATGTCCACAGCTACGGGTCCCAGGCCCTTGGTGTGCCATGGGAGTGTGTGGAGACTGACAAACACTAGCTGCCTCCCCAGGGACGCTGCCAACTTCCCTGAGAACAGAAGCATCTCCTGATTGGCATCTTGGAGCGTGATTCTCCCTGGAGGGGGTGAGTGGCCACCCATCTCCTCTCTGTCCCCAGGAAGTTGGGCCATGCACGGCCCAGAAAACACAAAACACTGGATTTTCCAGAATTATTTCTCTCTATGCCTTTTGAATGTAATGTTCTGACGTTCTGAGAATTTACATTTTGGTGCGATGAAAGTTCCTACTCAGCGCCAGCCTTGGTGCGAGGCTCGCCCTGAGCTTCCTGGCCCAAATGGGGAGCTGCCGTGGATCCCTGATCCGGGGGACGGGTGCAGAGTGTGGCTTCATAGAGATCGGGGTTCCAACTCCCCTCCTCCACCAACTGGCTGCTTCCAGACTGTGTGACCTTGGGCACATCACCTAACCTCTCTGTTTCATCGTCTGCAAAGGGTGATCATGCCGGCGAGAGGTAAGCCAGATCGGGCAGGCAGAGGCCTGCACGTGGCCGACCGAGAAGAGGTCGGTCAGGACTGTGGGCAGCTGTTCCTGTCCGCCCCCGCCCCCATCATAAGATGAACATCATCTGGGTGTGCAGTGGCCTGCCCTCTCTGAGTTCACTCTTGCTCACTTT